ACTGGGCCCCTTGATTGGCATATCTCGCACCACCGAAAGCGCGACACGTGGCGACGCGAAAGGTGTGAGCATAGCCAGCAATGCTAAGCGGTGTGACTTGTCAGTATTACACTGATGCATCCAGCAAGCGTCTGGGGTTTGGCGAAAAGCGTCTGAAGGAGGATCTCTCGCTAAGAAAACTGCATATGGATCGAGAGGAACGTTTTCGACGCCTGGAGTTGAATGAGCGCGAGCGTGATCGGAAGCATAAGGCTGCTGAAAAAAGGCGGGAGTAGACAAACAAATGGCTCTCCAACTGTTGTTGAGTGATATGTCGTTCCCGGAGGTGACAGAAATCTCGAATCTGTTATTTTTACAGAGCTGCGATGCAGTCTCACGTCACATTTTCTTACTACGAATTCCATTTAATGATAGTCAGCTTAGATAGGTATGCGAATCAAGTAGTTCATGCTTCAGCTGCTCTCTTTTTTTTAAAATCCTGCTCGTGCATCAAGCACATTACTAACAGCCGCCGCTCCATCTTGGAAATCATCGTCTTCATCGTCAGAGTTACTATCATCCCACCACACGTCGTCCATTTCCAGCCCGATATTGTGCAGTATTGCACAAGCACGAATGTGGTTATTTACCAGCACGAAGTTCGTCTTTTTTATCTGAGTGAAATGCCTTTTAAAGACATCCAGCGGTTTTTCCACTTGATGCAGCTAACCTTGATAGCACGCGCACTCAAAAGCACTTAGTTAAGGGTTGTGCTCTCAGACTTTGCAGCTGCAGGCATTTTGCACGGCGTAATGACATTTCTCGATATAGCATATCCAGAATCACCGAGAAGATATCTATCCTCTCCGAAATGTCGGTGTGGGAAACGCAGAGCTAGGGTCTTTCCAAAGACAGTAGAATCTAAAAACGACCCGGGCCATCCAGAGCTAATCATCATTCTGCGTTTGGTTTGGTAGCTAGCAACCTGGGCGTTAAATGAGTCGCGCGACTTGCGGTTAAAATGCAAAGAACCGTCGATGTGTTGTTGCTGATCAAAGCAGGAGTGCGTTCCATCAACCATACCAATCACACCAGGAAAATGGTATCGCTCACGATGAAATGCTGATGCTGTTGCACGTCGGATTGCCGAGGACCACGAAACATACTTGCGATAATACTTTAATAGTACTTGTCGCACTCACTACACACAATCGGTAACTGTGCCCGATCCAATGCCACAGTGACGCGCAATCCTTAAAGTAGAGTTTCCTTGTCCACTCGCTCCCAACCACTCTAAGCAACCGCTACCTATACGGCTACATCCCGCTGAGGCTTGTTGCCGCTTTGCTGAAAGCGTGCACCACCTCGTTTGAGCTGCCGGACGTACTCGAACGAATATTTGGCACACGTAGGGAGTTCATTCACACGTTCTCATGCATGCAAACCCCAGATAGCGATGGACAATAGAGCGGTCAATGTTTGCACGTGATCCTAAGTAGTGATTCAGTTTGACTCCACAATACAAATCATGTGTCTCATCGAGTTCCGCGTTTATTTCTTCGACATCACTAAGCTCCTCCAGCAGTACCTAATTAAATTTAACATCTGAGAGTGACTTGAGTAGCTTCGCCCGCATTGATGCAGGCATCTTAAGCGCGCGATGAAGCTCGGATTGTATAACTGTAGCGACACACCAACGTCACAGCCAGCGATGGCCATGACGTTGGTACCAATGCGTCCTACTTTCTTCTATTTTCTTCCTTCTTGCCTTTGCTGACTGCCAACTGCCTTCTTAAGTTGTTAATGAGCGGCCAGGCAGACACACGCCTGACCGGAAGGCAATCACCACGTTTGGACGAGTGTTGCCAAACGTGGAACTTCAATGACACTCATTCTTCTTCATTTGAAAACACTATGTAGATTCTGACCCGGTTCAAATGAACCGCGGCTCACTACTACGCTACGCTACTTCAAGATTCGACTCAAGGACTACTTAGAATCTAGTTTAGTGAAATGCATATACTTACATAGGATACCAAGGGTTTGCTAACAAGCACTTTCTCGTAGCCGACAAACAACTAACCATTTCAATCTCACTTTCCAATTTACCTTCTTCGAGGCAGATCAGTAGCCTCCTACGCCTTACCGTCGAGTCCCCATCGTTGAACTCTCGCCGCCCTCCTCCGCTTCGCTCCTCGCCACGCGACTCGTTCCTCGTCGTTGTTCCTCTGCGCCGTGCTCTCACCAGTCGTCACATCTGGTAGCACTTGCTTTTTTTCGTCCGGGAGGGGGTTCTTCATTCTCGATTCGCTATGCGACACATGGAAAGCCGCTCGTTGAGCGTGTGTCGTCGTTGTTCGCCTCCACATTCGTCGGATTTCTTCGTTGCGACCTCTTTTCATACGGCTTGCCGTTTGGAATTTTTGTGTGTACTGCACTAAGCGTCTGGTCTATAAGAACCGGATCAACTCAGTACCTGCACCCCTCGTCGCGGATGACCTGTCTGCGACTTCCTTTTTTGGCACTTCGTCGCTGAAATTTTTGACAATCAACCACGACTTCCTTGAATTTTCAAGGATGATCTACCGACGCTATCACGCAGAAACTCATCGAAATGGTTGACAAGCAGCAACAACTGCTTGAAGCCATGAGTAAGCGTGAAGTGGAAGTGGAAGGTATCCGTCTGCCTAAATTTCATGGCAAGATGGGAGATTCTGTTGGTTTGTACTTTGAGCAACTTGCTCAGTACTTTGACGCCAAAAACATCGATTGGCAAAACGACAACCAAAGTTCTCAAATTTTGGCCATTACTTTTGCGAACTTTAATGGAAACGCTGCCGCTTGGTACAAGCTGAACGAGCGTGATATCTAGGACAAGCAGGACCTTATGGCCCCGTTGACCGATGAATTTTGCCTCCGGAATTGCAAGAGCGTTTGCATGATCAATTGTACGCGCTCAAGCAAAAAAATTGCTCTAGCTTGGAAGATTACACCTCTTGCTTCCGTGAAGCCATCATGCAAGTGACAGACATGAGTGAGTTGGACAAGATCACTTATTTCACACATGGACTAGTCAGTCCTACGAGCAAAGAGGTGCAATATCG